AAAAGCATCTGTGCGGGTGTGTGCACAGACCTGCTGGGTGTGCTGCTCTTGTGCACATCTGCCCATGTGCTCAGGGCTGGTATCTCACACCCAGGTGGGTTCCCATTGTGCCCTCCAGCCTCTGCAGCTTTGCTTTTGGTCACTTGGGTGCCTTTTTACTTATCAGCACATACTCACCGCCTGTCATGGCTGTGGTGCGAAAAAGTCAGCAGGTGAGAATGTGGAGGGCAAGAGGTGGGGCAGCGATCCTGCCGTGGACACTGCAGAGAGGCAGGGATGCTAACAGCGGGAGTCTGGCAGCAGAACAGCACGGGGCAGCACGGGGGTCCTGCTCACGTGCAGGCAGGCTGTGTCACAGCTGTAGCTCTAGCATAAGCACATGCTGCTGTCACGGACCCTGGAGGGTTTGCTGGCCCAAGAGTGGGATGATGAGTTATGCAGGTAACCCCACAAGCATGCTGTAGGATCGGTATCCCCCAGCAGCCCGACGCCTGAATGTGCCCCAAGTGCACCAGAAGAAATACCTCCTACAGAAGTGTTTGAGAGGCCTCTTAAAACTTTTATTGGTACTATTTTTTGTATCCCTCCACCTGTGGAGCAAGGCATCTTTAGTACGTTCAGCCCTCAGCAGGAGAGGAAAATTATAACTGATCCATTTCAGAAACCTCTAAAAATGACCTAAAATAACTTCTCTATATATAAAAATGCCATGATTTTAATGTCCATTATCTCATGACCTAGCAGGGCTAGGAAAAGCTATTGTAGATCATTTTTAGTGGTTTCTAAAATGGATTGGTCACACTTTTCCCCTGCACAGTGGGACTCAGGGTACAAGGACGACTGGGCTTTAGAGATGGGGAGCAAGACAAAAATCTGTGTCTGTGCTGATGCATCCAGAGCTGTTTCATCCTCGAGGACCACTTGTTGTGCTCTCTCCAGCTGAGCAGAGATGCTGGAGCTGGTCAAGTGACAGCTATTTCCAAGAAGCCGGAGAGACAGCAGTCGAATGGATGCAAAGCCTGGGGTACCATATGATGGGAAAGCCAACCCCATCTCTGCCACCAATCTTCTGCAGGGTCTGCAGAGACGATGACCCTGGCACCAGCTTTCACTGCCTGTCGTAGCTCTGAATTTTGCTGGAGCATCACAACAGCTGGTGAGCAGGGCACCCAGGTGGGATGCACCGAGCATCCCCTTGTCCTGAGCATTTACATCAAGGCTGGTTGCAACCCAAGCTGCTGGGAAGCCGCCACGACCGGGCATTAAACACACCAGGTTTGCAGAGAGGAATCAGCAGTCCGTGTGGGAGAAGTGGCTTCATGCCATGAGAGAGGTTAATAGACAGATTAGAGAGGGCAGCACTGTTTGCGGCGAAAGGAAAGGAGCTCTGCCATTACAGAGTTCAGCAGCTCCGTGAGGCGACGGGGAAGCAAATATTTGCCAGGATTAGGGAGGCTGTATGCAGGAGCCTGGGGACAAGTGCCCGTGCAAGGGCAACATGTTGCTCGGGCTGTTTTTGGTGTTAGGCAGGGGCTGAGAGCTGGACGTCAGCCAGGGGAGGATGGAGGAGGTTGGAGCAGGACATCCCGCACTCAGAGACACTGCCCAAAGCCTCAGGGCAGAAAAAGCCTTTAAGGCTCCCTTGATGGCTTTGTTTTCCTCCGCTGCCTTTCTTGCTCTCTCATCGGCCCGACAGGCTGGCCCACCTCCAAAGACAGCATTACGGAGCGCCAGATCGATTGGAGCCTGCGATTTTATTTGCTGTCTTTAAGAGCCTTTGATGGGCATGAGCTGTGCCAGTGAGCACCTTTCCTGGGAGAGGAGGGAAGAGTAACAGGGTTGCAAGCCAGCATCTCCCACAGGGAGATGGGGACCCTGCTTGGAGAAGATACCATTACAGAGTGGGCAAAGATGCACCATGGCAGCAGAGAAGGGTCTTACAGCTCTCTCCTTTGTGGCGCCTGGTGGCCATGGTCATGGTCACCCACATGGTGTCATGGCACATCGCACTGGCCCTGCGCTCTCCTATGGGGTGGCGTTTCTGCCCATCAAAGTGGAAAGTCGGGCACTTGAGTGACATCCCCATCCCAAGCTCTGGGACTGATGGTTCTTTGGAGAGATGGAGGTGGCTGGGGTGTCCCTGTGAGACAGCTTGTCCCTGCCCAGAAAGAGAGGGCAATGGCTATGGTGAGACAAGCTTCATACAGCAGCATCCCTTTGGCTGCAGCAGACTGAGGATGTTGCATGGACACCAGGGTGAGAGATACTAGGGTCATTTTGTCCCCCCTTCCCCAGGCTCTCCTTCCATCTCTGGCTTGCTAAAAGGCACCAGAGGATGAAAGATGGAGGATGCTGTGGGCACAGAGGCTCGGGGCTATATTTGGGGCCCCAATCTTGGAGCAGAGGGCAGGATCTTCAAGGCATTCAAGGTTCTGAAAATGAGGCGTCTTCAGAGCCTGCTGCAGAGTGGGGATGGAAGCAGGAGGCAGTCTGGGCACCGCCACTCTTCCAGCCAAGCAAACCTGGAGGCATGAGCCTGCCCCAGCCTCCTCGGTGCAGGAATTGCCACAGATCACCAAGAGTTGGATCCAGCATAGCACTGGAGACAACAGAGATAAATTATCCTCAGATGGACTAATTGCAGCTCGGTAGCAGTGCAGCGTCTGGGGATGTGCGGGTAGGGCAGAACCTCCTCGTCGGGCAGGGACCAGGCAAGACTTCAGGGATGCTCACTGAAGCCTCGGCTGCCTCTACCCGGCTTGCCGGCCGGCTTCTGGTGTCGTGTGGGACAGCTGAGCACAAGCAGCAAGGGGGCGAGAGGCCCACGGTAGCATCCCCGGCATCCCCTCCCTGCCCCCCCCCGCAGTATTTCCAGCCTCCAGCCCGGTGTGCCGGGTGCCGGGCGGGTGCTGTAAGCCCACACTGCCACCACGCGGTCACTCGCACCCCAAAGGCTGTCCCTAAATCCCCTGCACCCCTTCAACCCCTCGGAAACACGTCCTGGGAGCCTCCAACACCTCCCCTGCCTCCGCCCCCCTTTTTTGCGATGCTGCCCTGCGTTTGCTCCCGCCTCACCCCCCGGGGGCAGCTGTGAGGCAGGGAAAGGGTTAAGGAGCCGATGGGGAGGAGGAGGAGGATGGAGCTGTAGCAAGGATCAGGTCCTTGTCTCTGGCCTTGCGATTAGCCGCTCTGTTTTGCTGTGGAGGGTCTGCTTGAATAATTTAGCTGGGAGGCTCATTAACCAAGCTCTGGCCTTCGTCTGCCGGCTGAAGGCTGAAATAGCCATTAGGAGGAACACGCTTAACGCACCAGCACAGGCTCTCCTCCCTGCCAGCCCCCCTCTCTGCATCTCCTCTCCCTCCCTCTCTCCTTCTTATTCTCCTTGCTCCCTGCTGCTGCAGGGATGTCCCATTTTGCATTGATGTCTTGAGGCTTTGGTAATTCCTGGTGCTGCCAGCTCACCGGTGCAGTGAGGACATCCTTAGCCAGCTCACTGCATCCTCCACTTCTCTGGCACAGCATGCAGAGGGACGTTAGATTGGTGCATGGCTTCCCTGTACCAGCATCAGTATGGGCTGCTCCATAGCAAGACAAGGTGCATGCATGGTGCTGTGGGACTTGTGATTTGCCCTTGCAGCCCTCGGGGGAAGGCGTTTCCCATCCTGAGGGTGCTCCCTGAACTCTTGTATCACTGCATCACAGTTTGCATCTCATTTCTGTTAATGGCCGTGGGTAAGGCGTCTGCCTCAGCGTCAGGGAGGAGAGCGGATAGCCGTATGGTGAGGGTGCTGGCAGAACCGCGGTGGGGTGGTGGGCAGCAATGTTTGCACTGAGGCTGCCAGGTCTGCTAGGTTTGTTTCAAAACCTCTGCTTGGACAGAAGAGGACATCCTGGGGGGATGCATGGGGACAAGGGCTAATGAAGGAAGGCAAAGAGGGACTGCCACAGGTTCAGACAGCCTTTCCGAGAGAGCCCTGGTGCACATCCAGCCCAGGAAGTGTATTTTATGGCAAGGTACTGTGCCAAGGTGCTGCATTTAGAGCCAAACTCTGCTATTAGCAATACAAGTGTCCAGGTACTAAGAGGAGTTGACTTCACTGTCAGTTCAGATAACATTTTTACCAACCTACAAGGGCAAAATTTATCGACTGAAAGGTATCACATCTCATCCTCCCACATGCACCGGCCCTCAGGATTTTGCAGAGTCTTCCTGCAGCTCTGGCTGTGTTCCTGCAAAGGGCACAGAGTGCACGCATGTCTGGGAAAGCCAAGTGCAATGTGAACACTTGGTTGGGCTTAAAATCCTCTTCTGCTTCTAACCTCAAGGCCAGACTGACAAGGCCAGAGGAAGGCTGCTCCCCACTGCATGCTCTCGTCCTATCTCCAGTTGCCTCCATGTCTCTTGGGAGGCAGGGCCCTGGGATGGGATGCTCTGCCCTGCTGCTGAAAGAATTAACACTGCCAGTCCTCCTGCAGAGCTGAATTTCCTCTGCTGGTTTCAGGTTGTTCCTCATCTTGCCATAAGCAGTCCTTCTTCCTCCCTTTGAGGACCTCTGGTCTTTTGGAGGATCATCCCTCAATAAGTTTATCATTCCCCAGGGATGTGGCAGAGAAAGCCGTGAGCGCTGTAGCTTAATGGGGTCAAGAGAGCAGCACTTCCTCCGCATAGCGACGTCTCTGTCACAGCCTTGAAGACAATTTCCCCCGGTACCTGCCAACCTCCTATGCTGCTCTATCTCTCATTAGAGAAGGTGAGCTGCCAGGGTAGAAGGTGAGCTGCTGTGCACAGCCCAGTCCAAAGCAAGGTCTCATGGGGGACCTCAGCGGCAGACGTGGGACAAAGGCCCCCAGATGCTTCAAGCAGCTGATGAACACAGACCAGGCTCGCCTTGCAAACTGTGTCCCCTCCCAAGCTGGCAGCAGTCCCCTTGCTCAGGACCTGGTGATAACCTCGCCT